CCTGAGCTGCCTCCGAGGACCGTCCCAGGGATGGCAGGTTGAAGTCCCCCAGAACCATAAGTCTGGGGAACTCCACCGCTAGCCCTGAGATGGCCTCCAGCAGCTCAGGCAGGGAGGCTGCCACGCAGCAAGGAGGCTGGTATTGTGTGAATAAAGGTAAAAATCATATTTCTATCCTAACAGCTTTTCATGGACTCCAACAGGGAGGCTGCCACGCAGCAAGGAGGCTGGTATTGTGTGAATAAAGGTAAAAATCATATTTCTATCCTAACAGCTTTTCATGGACTCCAACAGGGAGGCTGCCACGCAGCAAGGAGGCTGGTATTGTGTGAATAAAGGTAAAAATCATATTTCTATCCTAACAGCTTTTCATGGACTTCTCCAACAGCTTCTGGTTCTTCTTAACCACGATTTAAGCTTGACTTGAGGGAGTTTTTATCTTTTTTACTTTTCTCTTCAACTGTATACATTTGTTTGCTGTTTCCTAAAGATATGCTTTGGATTATCAGGTAATATCTTTAAATACTATTTGCATTTTGTGTTTCCATGTAATTAAAACTAGCAAATGTTCTTTGTCAGGGGATATGTTGTTGACAGTAGAATTGGGACAAAGGGAGGCTATAGCTATTATTCCTCCTCCCTCTCTCTCTCCTTACTCCCCCCCACTACCATCCCGCATGAGATTTGCCAGCCATTATTACCTGTCAGGATTTATCATCTTTCAATTTGCCTTCATTTGGTCCTAGTCTATTGTCTGACATTCAGTAGCATATTGAAATTGCTCCAGGTTATCACTGGAGCCCCAGAAAAGTGATGAAAATTTAGCTAAGAGTAACTAAGTAAATCAATAAATTGCTTAAGCTTTTGGAAGCAAAGGCTGGTAATGGGTTGATAAAGGAATTTGTCTGAATAAACTTTTATTTGGGGTCAGGATTGAATAATTGCAAAGAGATGATCACCTGTCAGATTTGGCATTTGCAACTTTGTTCACTCTGTTCTGACTGGCAAAATCAAATCACCTCAAACTAAATGATAGAAGATCACAGATCAAGTAGAATATATATGATTTGTCTGGATTGCAATTACAAACTGGCTTGAGCCAATATTCAGAACAACTTTGGTTTATCAAACTGTTAGCCTGTTGGGTCAGCTCAGTTACATGGGATTGTTTCAGATGGAGAGGCAGAGGAGAATTTCAGCAGATGTCCCAAAAGTTCTGAGACAGTCATCCAAGTTACAGTCTTACAGTAGCAATCACTCTTTTTTTATAGGTATGACAAACTGGATCCCAAACTGGAAGAATAATGGTTGGAAAACCAGAACAGGAAAAGAAGTAAGAAACAAAGAAGATTTTGAAAGGCTTGCTAAGCTTTCAGAAGGCATGGACATCCAGTGGGTAAGTAATGTTCCTCTAAAAACTGACTGAAGTTTTAAATAAATTCACAGAATACTGATAAAAGCACCAATCTTTAACAGACGTAGCTATGATGAATAGCAACATGTAAAATGGATTATGTCAACCCAAAGGAAAGAGATTTATTTGAAATCTGCGGCTGGGTTCATGCACTGTACCAAGCTATATAGTATGTTCTTTTTGACCCTCTGATATGAATGCTACATCATAAAGATTAGTGGAAGATAAGTGAATATTGCAGATAGTTATAGAACACACACATTGTTATATGTCTGGAGTAATTAATTTGGGCTCTTGTTATCAACAGATGCATGTTCCCGGTCATGCTGGCTTTCCTGGAAACGAAGCAGCTGATCGATTAGCAAAAGAAGGAGCTGGAAAATCATTATCTTAGCATTTTATAACCTAAATACTCCACATAAGAAGGAAGATTAAGATTATTTCAGGTTAATTTTTGTTGAGTCTCCATATGCTTTGAATAAAAGATGCAAAAATTTAGCTTAAACAGTGGAGAATGTAAATGCTTTTTATATATCCTATGTCTTGCCAGAGCATCTCCTCCATTTCTCAATCTGTGTCTGAGAGTTGAGTGTTTGCATCATATTAATTATGTAAAACAGCAAATTGGGAAGTGTTAAAAAAGTATATATGGAAAATATACTCTACTTGCTTGGACAACAATATGTTCTTGTTACCTTAAAGGTTTTTTTTTTTAATTTCAATCCTATTGTCTCTACAATACAATAGATAAAGGAAAGTACAAATCAAAATCAAAATTATTAGATCACAGTCACCTTACTCAACAAGGTGCAAACTCTATATGTAAGATCGGTATTCACGGTATATTCAGATGTTCACATTCTAAAGATTACTTTAGAGCTTGGTGTTTATTTATTTACAATAAATAAAATTATTATTGGTGCTGGCATACCTAACATATGATGTTAGCGCAATAAGCATTGTTTGTGTTTATTATTTTATTTGTTACATGTATATTCCACTGCTCATCAAGGAGTTTAAAGTGACTTAACATGGAAATCTCTACTTTACACCCCCACCCCCCAAAAATACCCTACTTGGTGAGATAAATTGGGGCTGACTGGCCTCCAATCATGCTATGAATTTCTATAACTGAGGATGGATTTGAACCTAGGTTCAGCCAGGTCCAAGTCCAGAATCTTAAAACACATTGGCTGTGTTTCTATAACTGATTTACTCTATTTATGTCCTGTTTTCCTCCAAAGTTCACACTATTCCCTTCATATTCTGACAAGATACAATATACATAGAAAGATAGAATCTATTCTTATAGTTATCAATTATTATAGCCTGTAGAATTTGAACATGTGTCTATTATGCCTTCTAAGCAGGTGGGATAGGTAGGACAAGATTTGGTGCTATAGTTGAGCCTGAAAATTAGAATGGTCACTTTTCAGCCATCACATCTCTTTTCAATGTAGTGTATGTTTTTAAGCTCTCTGAGATTCCTGATGACTTGCCTAGGGAGATTCAGATTTTGTACTTGTATGTATACAAGTACATATACATACATACTTGTATACAAACAGTATGCAGTATTCATTTCAAAATGTGTTTATTTCAGGACGAGAATGATCAATGTTAAGATGTTTCAGCCTATCACTGCATGAATGCATGTGCTTTTTTAAGCCATAGTCCATCTTTTGATTTAAGATACTATAGAGTTTTGTCTGGGATATGTTTGTGGCTTCAATAAGCCAACTTTTCTAAATTAAGTATGTATTGATTTCCCAGGATTGTAAAACAAGATTGCTGTGCTCGGTATACTTGTACAAACAGATCTTCATATACAGTAGACTTTATGGCAATATAATATATAATTTCATCACAGAGCCATTTTATCAGATTATACCTTTTAAAAAGAAGTTATAGACCCATAATGAGACAGATTTATCAAGATTTGATAGATTCCCTTGATTTTAATCTGGTTCTGAAAGAAGGAGTGCAAAAATACAAGATGAAATGCCATGTCCCTGTGATAGCAAACAGCCACTTCATTCTTAATAGTGTAGCGTGTTTCTCAAGGATCTGAGAAACTGATGAAGACACATTTTCTGAGTTCACTTAATTTCATAAAATAAATATAGAGTAAATGTTAGAAAATGAATTTAGAAACCTGTTATACATAGCTAATTGAGGAATAGGCAGATTTTATATGGAAGTAAGAGTAGGACTAGACTAGAAGTATATTGAAGTGGTATGCTCTCGTAAAATGCCTTGCAATTTGACTTTGATGGTGATCTGGTTCTCTTAAGATTATTAATGACCTCTCACAACTAGGCCTCTTTCATATCCCCTTCATCAATCAGAGAGTGTAGTTGTGTTGACAGGTCTCTCCTTGAACTTACAAGGCAAGTCATTTGCTGATCTCCCTGAGAAGTGAGGGTGCAGAATTCACAACAGATGTTTTCATGCATGGCTGCCCTCCCTCCTAGACCCCTCCCCTTCTGCTGAGGATAGGGCTTGTTTTTCCAGGAGGAGGAGAAAGACATTGAAACTTAAGAGCAAGAGAAATGCAGTCATTAATGGAATAGTCTAAGTGGACTAGTTGTGATAGGTTGCAGGGATTATTTTCTTCAGGCAGTTTTGCAAAACAACACTTCTTTTTACTTAACTTGCCTAATACCTTTGTTTTTCTTAGGAACTGGGAAGGAAATGAGTACAGTATTAGCCTCTGTTCTTATTTCATCTAATTTCACACAAGCTTAATGTTGAGAAAAAAATCAGGTGTTTAATAGGTATTTCATAGTACTTACTTTGAAAACTTGAGCAAGACAACTTGGCAAGATGAGGGTGCAAGTAATGAGGAAGCAGATTAGGAGGCACATCCTTCTAGTTTCAGAAATGCTAACCCCAGTTCTATTTCCTTTTTTAATCTTAGGAATCTAGCTTTACTTACAGCAGATACATTATGTTTGTTTATTTATTCAAGTTATATAGCCGCCCATGTCATCTTCGTGACTCTGGGCAGCTTACAATTAAAACATAAACATTACTAAGAAAAAAATAAAACAATCATACAAACATAAAAAACAATTTAAACAATTTTAAAAAACCATACAGTACTGGAAAGCACAGTCATTCAAAAACAGTACAGGTAATCCTTGCTTAACGGCTGCCCTGTTTAGTGACTGTTCAAAGTTACGATGGCGCTGAAAAAGTAACTTTATGACCAGTCCTCACATGACCATCGCAGCGTCCCTGCAGTTATGTGATGGAAAATCAGGTGCTTTGCAACCAGCAGGCATTTATGACTGTTGCAGCATACCGTGGTGATGTGATCAGCATTTGCACACTTCACAGCAAGCTTCTGACAAGCAGAGTCAAGGGAGAAGCTGGCAGTAAAATCTCAAGATGCAGTCACATGTTGTCTTGCTTAACAACCACAGGGATTCGCTTAGCAACCACAACAAAATGAGGTTGTAAACATGTTGCAGTTATGTGATGTCTCACTTAATAACAGTGTCACTCAGCTACAGAGTTGCTGGTCCCAATTGTGTTATTAAGCGAGGACTACCAGTACAGCTAGTCCTCAACTTACGACCATTCATTCAGCCACTGTTCGAAATTATGATGGCACTGAATGAGGGGGACTTGTGACCAGTCTGCAAAGTTGCAGCCATCACAGCATTCCCACAGTTATGTGGTTACAATCCGGCACCCAGCTTGCCATTACAACATCACAGCAAGCCACAGTCACATGATCAACACTTGCAACCTTCCCTGCCAGCTTCCCACAAGCAAAGTCAATGGGGAAGCCAGCAGGGAAATAGCAAGTCACTCCCATAAGTTGCACCTGCTGCTTTTTCTCCCAAGGAGCCCCACTACAGAGTACTAGATCCCAGGGATCTCATACTCCTTTGCACCCCCACCCCTCCGCATGCTCCCCAGGACCTGCCCTCAGCCCTTGCCGGCCCACCCACACTCCCTAGAGCCTACCTCTTCATGCTTAACAATCGTGTGGTCCTGGGGTTTCAACAGCAACAGGGACTGCTGGGATTGCCATTGCTAAATGATGTGGTCACATGTAATGATATGCAAGAAAGACCTTGCAAAACAGGGTGAAGAGATACTGCCTGGGGAATGGTCAGATAAGAGGGCATAGCCCACAGCTGCCAAATGGATGGAGAAAGAGGCTCAGAAGGGACCCTCCTTAACTTCTCGGGCTGTAAAGGAGAGACGGCAGGAGATTTGTACTTTCAGATTTTTCAAGATTGATGTCAGCCTTCACAGGTAGACCAGGCAGGAAACATGACCAGATGAGCTAATTCTACTTTATTGTAAAACTACATGAATAGAATCTTGCAAATATCACAGAAATCAAAGTAGCTGTGCTTCTTTAAAATCTGGATCTTTTAAAAGCACTTGTAGCGTTATCATTTGTGGGCAGAATGTAATTAAATTTGCAACAATAAGTGTCCCTCCTATGGGAAATATCCTTGCAAAGTATCAGACATATACATAGAGGGAGTTGGTGCAAAGGAATGATAGTGCTTTTTTCTGAATGTAGTGAACCTTAGTACCCGGAATTGTAGAAATATCTGAACTTTCCTATAAAATAAATTACTTGCTGCTATGCCAGGTCAGCTAGCTAATTCAGCTGGAAAAATGCTCAGGCAATGACAATGAGATGATGCTTGGAGCAAATAGCACAACTAAGAATATCTTTCCACTTCCCCACCACTGTCCAAGAAATTATGTTTGAGGCAATCAATGGTGATATGATGGTGGCCTGATCCTAAGGGTCATTCTTATATGAGGATAGATTTCCCAGTGATTGAATCCAATGCTCCCTTCTTTTTCCACATTATTTTATGTAAACATCAACAGCTCTCCCCCCCCCTTTTTTTTTGAGCATGGTTGCTTTAGTGTCATTTGTGGTATGCTGGAGTTCTAAAGAAAAGATCAAAACTAGAGTTTTATGGATAAGATACACTGATTCTGAATAGACCATATTAAGGTCTCTTTGCTTCACTCCAAGTAAATGAGGATTTCCCCCCTAAATTATACAATTTTAGATTTATAATACTTAATTAACCTAACTAGTACTTGAATTTTATGTTTATTTTATTATTAATTTAATAAAAATGCTTTACGTACCTCCATTCAAGCTCTGTAAATTCATTGCATAACTCCATACTTGACTGGTTATTGATGAAAATAAAAATGTTCTGTTTATATTTGTTGTGAATCGTCCATAGTTGTTTAAGATGGACGGCTATACAAATCTTTTAAATAAATAAAAAATAAAATATTTGGACTCACTTCCAACTCAACATGTTATGATCAGGATGGATGTATTAAAATGTCTATATAATTTAATGTTATATTTTAGTACAACTAAGGCTGCTTTAGTGTTTCAGATGAGACAGCATTCACTTTTTTAGCATATAAAAAATCTTCAGTTTTCTTTTTGCCAATAAAATAAAAACATATTTTAATGTATCACATGCATTCCATATCTCTGAAAAACTCATTAAATAGAGCCCTGGCAAGTGCTAAAAACAATGTGTATATTTACATTCCTAGGGGATAGGTTCAAAGATTGAAATTTTTAAAAAGTCTACAAGATTTTTGAGTGATTTCTTGTTTCCTTGCATGAGGAAAATATAAGCAGTTATAAAACACTGACATGGCCTATTTAACAACTAATGTTGACTGCCAATGATTGAAGGATGCAAGAAGTACTTAGTAAGAGAAGATGGTATCTTATGGGGTAAACCTAAGTTACTACAACAGGGATGAAATAAGCAGGAAATGCATATGGACATGCTTTTAGATTTACAACTTTTTACACATAGTCTGGACAAGACTAATCTAGTCATGTCCGTATTATAGCTAAGTTATTAATAGCTTGGATGCTAAATGTGCCTTCTGCAAATGGAAGAACAGATTTTTCGGATGACAAGTGATGGGAGGTTCTGTTGGAAAGAGAAAGTTCTGAATCCAAACTATATATTTAGTGTATTTAGATGTTTAAAAGATAATAACTACATGACAGATAGCTTGGGTTCTGTTTGCTGCTATTTTAACTCTAAAATAGTTCATTTAAATAAAGTTTAAATTGTTCAAAATGTTTTGGAGATGCTGCATTTTGTCCTATACTATAATTAGATAACAGTATTTCAAAGCTAGCTTAGCTAAACAAATTCCATATTGTTATTTTCCAGTTACCAAGAAAACCCTAAAACAGAGGCAGGGACATTTTGTCCTCTAGGTATAGCTGACCTACAACCCCTAGCAAGCCTGACCTGCATTGATAATGTTATGAAAAGCTGGGAAATGTAGTCCATCAATATCTGGAAGGCCAAGGTCCTTGCATTAAAAAATTAGGTTGCCAACTTGGTGTCCTTAAGGTATTGTGAACACAACTCCCCTGGTCCTTGCCATTGGCTATATTGGCTGAGGTTGATTTTTGGAGGGACACCAACTTGTCTGTCTCTGTTGTAATCCAGCATACAACTCACAGCACCTTGAAGCTAAACTACTGCAGTGTGCTATACACAGGGATGCTTTTGAATACTACTAGGAAAATGCAATTGGGCAAAATATGACAGACTGTTTTGCTGGTGGCTGAACCCCATTACAGCCATATAACACCATTTTTGTGGGCATTGCATTGACTTCTGATAGGGCTCTGGGTACAATTCAAAGTGCTGGTTTTAATCAATAAACCCCTTCATGGCCATTTAGGACTGTCTTCAAGCAGAACTGTCCCATGCAATGCACTTATCTCATAAAGGGATGCTAAAGGTCCCCTTCCTCAGTTGAGATGTGTGTTTTTCAATGGTAGCCTCTTCCATTTGGAATAGCCTCCTGCCAGGTGTTGGATTGGTGCCCACCTTGTTGTCGTTTAGGAAGGCCATAACATTGTTCAGTACAGCATTTGATGTGTAATTGTCACTGCTGGGACTGGGCAACAGTGGACGTTGTTAGCTTGTTTAATTGTTTTTATAAATTTGTTGATGGTATTTTATTATTTTATGTGCACATCTCTGGAAGTTGTATTTGGAATAAACTGTATATTAAAGCTATAAATAAAGAAAGAAACTGGGAATAAATTGTAGCCTCATGGAACTTATTTTGCAGTAACAACTGCATACAAAGAGACTTCATAAAATCACAACATATAAGGACAGGAATGGATTTTGAATGTAATCTATTCCAAGTCCAGTGTAGGGATCCAGTACTATAGAATCACCACTGGTTGGCCATCCAGCCTCTCTGAGCCCCTCCAGACAAGGAGAGTCCACCACCTCTTCAGGCAGCCTGTTTCATTGCTGTACAGGGTTTATCATTAGGAAATTTGTATTGATGCCCAAGCAAAATGTATTCCATTGTAATTCTGACCATTGTTTCTTGTCCTGTCTTCTAGAACAATGCCAAACGATTCTGTCTTGCCTTCTACATGATAGAAGACGGTTATCATGTCTCCCTGCAGTCTTCTCTTCTCCATATTAAACATGATCCAGGGTTTAAATCATTCCTCATACGTTTTTCCTCTTAAACCCCTTATTAATTTGGTTGCTGTTCTCTGGCCAGAACTGGAACAATGGTCTAAGTGAAATCTGATCAATACAGAATATTACTGAATGATTACTTCTCTTCATCTTGTCACTGTATCTGTTCTAAATATTGGAGCCATTTTTGGACAGAGATATGGGAACTATAGGGAAAAGAAAGAAATTCATTCCACCAAAATGTCCATTTCATTTGTGGATGGGCATAATTGGAAATCACCTATTTGCCTATTAACTTAGACTAACGTATCAGGCACATTATGTCATGGGCTTTAGACCCAAAAAGCTCACGTCATGATAAATGCATTGGTTTTCAAAGCACTGTAAGATTTCTGCTTTTGTGAAAGCTAAACTTCAAATATTTATATTTCTAAAAATCTTGACCTGAAAGTCTTACTACTGCACCATTTAACTTTCTTCACTTGAGCTATGAGACTAGAAGAAAAATCAAATAGCCCAATGTTGACAGCTGTTGCTCAGCTACCCAGACCAGTCTTCTAGCTAGAGCTGAACAATTTAACAAAGTCTTCCATTACCTGCACCTTTAGAGCTCATTTTCTCTCTGCCTATCTGTCTTTTCCAGACAGCCTTCTGGCCTGCTTAGCTTAGAAGAAATTCCTTCAGTTTCGCCCAGAGGGACTA